TGGCAAAATGGAATTAAAAACATAGTTGGTTTTGTTTTTTTCCTCAATAATTTTGAAGCCCCTTCCTATATGCATATAACCATTCAATCAGCCTTTTTTGACCACTGGCTACATGCTAGACACTGATATTTGCTAGCTAATTTTGCTTTCTAGTTGATCATAAAATAAAGAGTAGCAGAAGCACACTGTTACCCATTTTATAATTGCTAAAACATGGCAAAAATCAGTGTTTTGTTATCATAAGACACAGATGTAGAATAGAGTCTGAATCTTTGGGGCGTAACAGAAGTGATCCTTAACAACTGTTATTCTAGAACAACAAGGATAAATATGACCTCACTCAAGCCAATTTTGAGAATAGGTAGCCACTCCTAGGGAGAAAAAAGCAATGCTTTTTTGGTGGCAATCACTCTCCTAACATGAATTTCAATATCTAAAGGCAAGTGTGAAGACCAGCTCTCTGAAGTTCTGCCTGGTTGTAGATTTTCCTTCTCTGTGACAGGTTGTTTGTGAGCCTGACTGTTAGAGAGTTCTCTTCTTCCCTCACTGCTCCTCTTTGTAAATGCTGTGAGTGATTTTGATGGATCTCTTCCTGCTTGTTCACTTGTACAAAAGATCATCTTAAGCATTTCTCCCTTAAAGAGAAAGAAAAGGGCAGGAGTATGCATTGGTAGGGGTGCTGAAACTTTACTACAAAAATCACAAACACGTGTGTGTATGCATAGTATATGCAGAGCTTTGTCTGGATATTGTTAGTCAAAAGATAACTCTTATATCCTGATGGAAGGATAGATTCTTCTGTCACTCCGATTATGTTCTATTGATAGGTTACTATTGTTATACACCTTTTAGTCTAACCCCGCACACAACAGGATAGGGCCATGGAGAACTAAGGAATTCTCACTGACCGTTCTCCCTATTTCACCTTAGTCTGCAAGAGCTGCTGAATTCTATACAGCATAACTACAGGCAAGCTTGAAAAGACAGCCAAGTGATGGCTCTACTTGAGATGCATTAGCTAGGAGTTAAGCCGTATTTGCTGTATGGAGCATGTAAATTGAACCACATGTCCCCTATTTACCAAACAAACCATAATGAGAACAGGGTCATCTCCCTTTTAAAAAGAGATAAAGTAATTAGTGAATGAACCTCTACTGTTCTGTAGAAGGTTTTCCTCTGGGTAAATTTGGTTCTATAGAAACTTTTGAAAAATGATTTCAATAATTTCTCTCCCTATCATCATACTTCTAGGTGGCCCCCTCTTAGAGAGAATCCATAAATAGCCCCGTGTCTTATTTTGTGCAACGGGTCGGATGAAAATGCAGCACCAACATTTTGGGCTTGTCCTTTTTTTACAGTGGTCTGTGAACCATGGTATCAGCCCATCATAAAATTACTCGGGAGGAAGATGCGACTGTCTGCTCCTATGAAGACCCACAGTCTTGGAAACTCTACACAGGATTGCTATGAGGCAGAAGCAACCGATGACAGTGGGTATGGTGAGCTGTTATAAAGATGAGCAGATGTTATATGTGAAAAAATTGGTATCCAGACGGTGGACAGCAGAAAAGAGCCACAGAGGCTATCCTATTCTTTCCAGTGGGGAGCGACATGTTCTCCCAGGGTCGGAATCTGACTCCGTGGCAGTGAGCTAGGCGTTTTCACTGTTTAGTCTGAAATGCTTTAACTAGAAGTGAATCTAACGAGGTGTTATGTTTCTCTTCCAGCCTGGGAACCTTTCTCCTATTGGGATGTGGTAGCACTATGGAGCCAGGGATACCATGGGGGATGAGGTCTCAGATATCCTAACCCAAACTCCAGAGAGGCAAGTGAGTCATAGTGTGAATAGCAGAGACCAGCCCAGACTGAAAGAATTATTAAGTGCAGTCCAACTTTTTGAAGCACAGAATTATTCCTAACTTCAAAAGTTAGTGTACTGAAGCACGACAGAATCCTTTTATAAGGAAGGACTCAACTTGGCTATACCCACTTGCATAAAATATCCCCAAAGTTCTACAGCACAACACCTTAATCTGAATCATGAATTCACCATTTAATATTTAATTGCCTTTGTGTAAGATACTGAAGAACCCCTAGTGGCACTGTCACACTGTCAGGTCAGCCTTGGACCACAAGGTCAATGATTCAAAGCCACCAGCCACCTCAGAACTCACTGCCATCAAGTCAATGATGACTCATGGCAATGCCCCTGTGGGTTTCTGAGACTGTAACTGTTTACAGGAGTAGAAAGCCCAGTCTGTCTCCCGGGGAGCTGCTGGTGGTTTTGAACTGCCAATCCCATGGATTGCAGTCCAATGCATAACCACTATCCTACCAGGGCTCCATCCCCAGCCACCTACTCACATAAAAATGTACAACCTAGGAAACTATATAGGTTCCCTATGAGTTCGGATGAATCATTGGCAGAGGATGGGTAAGATATTAAGCCTCTCTCTCTGTCTCTCGCGATTTATCTGCAAAATGAAAATGTTCATCTACGTCCTCATAGGGGAATGGCTTGATTGAGTTTGATACAGCATGTTAAATACTTAGATTTCTATGTAATTGTTGATGTATGAGTTATGTAGAAGTTAAATGTCATTGAGGACCAAAGTGGGGCCTTGAGCTCTCATGGGCAGCCTGGAGATTTTCAGTCACAAATAAAAGAAAGACTCACGTGAAGCATGACGGAAGGAAGGGAAATTAAACCTCCTACATTTCATACATGTTTCTGTGACTCATCCTGCTTATGAGTTCAAACTCATCGAACAACAATAGTTACAGATATTGAGCATCTCCTACATGCCAGGCACTTCACACACATCATCTCTAATTGTTACCATTATAACAGTAGGCAGTCGTTAATTGATAGATATTAGTAGGCATCAGAATTTATAGTAAATATCTTCCATCATTATCACACGTGATCCTGAAAAATCACTTTATGACAGGCATCATTAACACAATGTAACAAATAAAGCTACAAAGAACTCAATCCTGAAATAATGGACCCAAGTACTCAGGGACGGTCAATGGGATAGCAAAGATACTTATTTGGATCCTCACCATCTAAATTCTCTTGTTTGCTGAGGTCCTGTCCTGCATCTGGGAGCCCTGGTGGCATAGTGGCTATATGCTGGGATGCTAATGACAAGGTCAGTGGTTTGAAACCACCAGCCAGAAGCTCTGAGTGGGAAAGATGAGGTGTTCCACTTCTACAAAGTGTTGCAGTCTCAGAACTCCATGGGGGCAGTTCTGCCCTGTCCTATGGGGTTGACATTTTTCAGAATTGACTCAATGCCAGTGGGTCTATTTTGGGTTTGGCCATGTATCTGGGAAGAGGAAAATCTCAGATGTTGAGAGTCCTCTGTAAGATGCACTTAAACAACAATGGATCATTACCTGCTGTGACTTTAGAAGTGTCTTTCTGGCAGGCATGTTGGAGAAGTGGTGTCCTGTGGTACATAGGTGTCATTCTCTGGCCTAATTCATAATACATGTGGAGAAAGCCTTCCTCATTAGATAACCAGAAGGATTTAAACTATATTTTAGGTGGTGCCAGGCCTTGGGAGATGAGCTAATGGGGAAAAGCAGGACCCCTGGCCCTCCGGCTCAACTATATTTCACTAGAAAAGCTGTACCTTTATGTGTCCTGTACTAAGGTTACTTTTAAAATTTATGAGCACAATGGAGAGGGAGGCAGAACTGCCTCTTCTTTAGGCAATTCCCTCAGAGTAGAGGAAATACTATGGCAAGCAAGGTGAAACCATTTCCCAAGGATCCTTAGAAGCGAGCCCCAAAAATGGAATGGGACCCCAGCAATCATGTGTTCTGTTCACTATGGACCCTGCTGTGAGGTTGTCTGTGGTCAAAACCTTCAATCAGTTTTGATGGACAAATAAGTCCCTGAAGTCTTAGAGATGTTGCTGAGTGTCTAATGTATAGTCACTGATTGACCGTAGGTCCCTTCCCATGATCCTCTCTTCCGCTTCACCATCTTCCCCTGTCCTCTGCTGCTTCAGTCATTGCAGGTCGGGCTGTGCAGTTTCAGTGCGTACATGATTAACCCTGGACGCGGGCGGCGCTACACCAGGACCAACAGAAAGGTTTTCCAGTTCCTTAATGCAACATGCAAATCGGCATTCCTTTCCAAGAGGAACCCTCGGCAGATAAACTGGACGGTCCTCTACAGAAGGAAGCACAAGAAGGGGCAAGCGGAAGAAATTCAAAAGAAAAGAACCCGTCGTGCAGTCAAATTCCAGAGGGCCATCCCTGGTGCGTCTCTTGCTGATAGAACGGCCAAGAGGAATCAGAAACCTGAGGTCAGAAAGGCCCAACGAGAACAGGCCATCAGGGCAGCCAAGGAAGCAAAAAAGGCAACTCAAGCTTCTAAAAAGACAGCAATGGCGGCTACCAAGGCTCCCACAGAGGCAGCGCCTGAGCAAATGATCCTGAAGCCAGTGAAAGTGTCCGCTCCCCAGGTGGGTGGAAAACGCAAAGTTGGCAGCTGAGACTTTCAAATAAAGATGCGGGAAAAAAAAAAAAAAAGGAAGAAATTAGTTTTGCATTCATCCCCGAGCCCAGGACTCAATTTCATTTGGACCAATTAGCTCTAGGATGCGAGGCGTTGCCAGGGCCTTGGGTGTAATGGCCCTGAGAGTGTTCCCCTGTGTACTCCAGAGACTTAGCAGTGTCCGTACCTTTCCCCCGTGAGATGCCAATGCCTCAGTCCTCCACTTTGAGCTGTGGCAATCAAAAACATCCACAGTGTTTCCCGCTGTCTCCTGGGGTGGGGAGGGAAGTCACATCCAGCTGAAATCCACTGGTCTTCTCTAGGCACTAAAAGGACTTCTCTGATCATCACTTAGCAACACCTTAAAGAAAACGAACGTCACTTCCCCAAACAACATTCTGAGGATCTTAGGAAGCAAACGACCTCATTCAGCCCAAATCTCACGAACACAACCGAAGTGTAACAGGATGCCATTTTTAGAGTATACCTGTGTGCTCTATCTTTTTAACTGATTTATGATGACTAAGTTGTGCAGGTACTGAAGTGTTTTGAAATTGCCCGCTTTTCATGAACATCAAAGTTCTGATCTATCTGCAGGGAAAAAAATGGATTGATAGATGCTATCACATTTGATAGCAGATCCTGGGTATAAAAAAGTTTTCTTGCTGTCAAATTTTAGCTGCCTGTCACTTACATTATATTATGTCACATCTCACCATGGCATATTGCAATGTAATGCAATGTAAGTCAATCATAGACAACTGCAATTCATAACGTGCTGAACAGGGAGAGTCATTCTTATAGAAACACTTTCCTCAGGAAGGATGGGATCCCTCTATGGAGGTCATTCTCAGCACTGCTGAGTCCACAGGTCCATGTGTGGCTCATATCTTCTCAGATGCTCTGTCTGCCCGGCCTGATCTCCCTTCATTTTTATGTTTTTGATAGGGCTGTCCATCCAAAGATGGTGGATACAAAGCCCGGCGGACCTAGGAGAGCTATGAGTTCCCTGGGTGGTACAAACAGTTAAACACTAGTCTACCAATGGAAAGTTTGATAGCTTGACCCTACCCAGAGGTGCTTCCGGAGGCAGGCCTGGTGGTTTTCTTCAGAAAGAATATGGCTGTGAAAACTTGATGGAGCCCAATTCTATTCTATGTGCATGGAGTGGCTATCAACACAGACAATTAACAACAAAGCAACAACAAAAAACGGGCTCTTGATAATTTAATGACACATTTGAGTTATTAAAAGATGGATGTACCTTTGGGCAACTACAGTCTTGTGGGCTTAAGGGCTTGATATTTGTCTAAGGTCCTTCTAAAAATGAGCAGAGAGAATTCATTGGTTTCAGCTTTTCAAAGATAGACTGGGCTGGTTTTTAGTCCTCCACTCTTCCTAGGGATGGGCATCTGAAGAGGAGACCACAGTACAAAGCCCTGAGAACATGCTAGTCCCTTAAATATACAGAGAATGGTTCCATTGGGTCATATGCTCGCCTTGTAGGCGAAACATGAAACTTACTTACAGGACTTGATATGGAACCTGGGCTAGGGATCTCTCACCCCAACAAGCCGAGAAGTGAGGTTTCCTTAGATCTAGTGTTTTTAGAGACTTTCTTTCCCACCCAGTAGAGTCACTAGAAGATGAAACAACACAATGGAGAGAAAGAACTCATTGTTGTCAATTCCATACTGAGGTAGTTAGTTTATTGTGACAACCTGGCCAGTAAACACATGTGAGGTTAATTGAAAGGTGGAGGGATAAATGACTCAGTGAGCCTCGCCTTTCTAGTTCTCGGGTCTCTTGCTTTATAATGGTCAGACCAGGGTGCAGCTGCCTTAGCTAGTTCCCTGCTTTAGCTGGCAAGACTCACTTCCTGCCAGACATCCCTGAGGAGAATCCACATGGACCTATCCCGATGCAGCCCTGAGTGCTGGAACAGCCGTGTGGAGACCCCTGCCAGCGCTGAGATGCTTACACATTCACTGACTCAGCTTTCCTCCTGCAGTTGGCATCATTGCTTCTGTTTTGTGAGATGGAGGAGGACTTTGTGGACTGGTGTCGGACATATGGTTTAACGGACTTGTGGGCTTGGGCAGCACTGGGTTGGGATGTTTTCTTGATGCGTACTTAACCTTTATATAAAACTCTCTCTTATACATGAATTTCTGTGGATTTGTTTCTCTAAATTCCCAGACGAACACACATATCAGTTCATAGCAACTCTACAAGACAGATTCCAATGGACTCATGGGCCTGACAAACTGCAATCTTTATGGAAACAGGGTGCCACATTTTTCTCCTACAGAGTGACTAAAAAACAAACAAAAATTGCACTGTCATCCGGCTGAGGTTGACTTACAGGAGGATTGCCGGTGGAGTGGTAACCAATTGGGCTGCAATTGGCAATGTCGGCAGTTTGAAACCAGCCACTCCTCGAGAAAAAGATGGGGTTTCCTACCTACATAAAGAGTTACAATCTCTGAAAACTCACAGGGGCCGTTCTACCCTGTCCTATCAATCACTATGTTGATGACAACAGAGTGACCAGTGGGTTTTAACTGCTCACCTTTCAATTAGCAGGTGAAAGCTCAGCCCTACACCCACAGGACTCTTTGGCAGAGGATTAGTGGTAGGAAAGAAAGGGCCATGAACATCTTCTGTTGTTGTAGTTCGTTGTCAGTGAGTCCATTTTGACTCCTAATATCCTTGATGCTCCTACATTTGGCCATTAGAGATGCATTTGTACCTGGACTCTTGTTTTATGGATGTTATTTGTTTCATTGTATTAATATTCCCTTTATAGCATGAGTAGTTTGTTAGGTGAGATTTTTGTGTGTGGGTGTGACTTGTAAGCAACTAGGTTTTAATAAATGCATGTACTCTCTCCACCTAGATCTCTAAGAGAAAGATAAACTCTTGCCAAAGTGTGTGTGTGAAATTACATTAAATGCATCCATTCAACAGGCTCTTAGAATCGTTAATCACAGCCACCATGTACTGATCTACCCTTTGAGCCCTTGTGTTATACTGAGTGTTTCGTATAAATTGTTCTCTTATTTCGTACAATGCTGTGCATTATGCCTGGATGGATTCATTTCAAGAGGAGAAAATGAAGGCTGAGAGAAACAATGGCTTATCAGACATAAGCTAGCTAGTGAGAAAGCACAGACATGGAGCCCATATTGGGGAAAGAGCCCCCTTTTCCTGTGCAATTCGAGAGAAAGATGTAGCCACCTGCTTCTATAAAGATTGTAGCCTTGCAAATCCTATGGTGTAGTTCTACTCTGGCATACAGGTCTCCAGGAGTGAGGATAAATTTGACAGCAGGTTTTTCCCTGTGCAATAATATATTTTATTGCTCACTTACTTGTTGTTGTAGCAGCTGGGAATTGTTTATGTATTAAAAACCTGGGAGGGGCATGGTATTGTGAGCTAGTACAATCATAGTCTATGCCTTCCCCAGTTCTTCTATTTCTCTCTGTATCATAATTCCCCACCCCCTGGGCCTTTAAGAGAACATCGTAATGTTAGCTATGTATCAAGAGACCCAGGCTCATTGTAATGTGATTGACCTTGCTACTCTGAGTCCAACATCTAATGGACCTGAAAGTGTTGGGTTGGCAGAGACCCAGAAATTGACCAGTAAATTATGGACACTATCCCTTTAATCTAACTGGCTTGTATCTCTGAGCCATTCTTTCAAGACTTGGCCTTGGTGTCTTGAACACACCATGTTCTCATGTCTGTCTATGACTCATGTGTTTTTGATTAGCCCCCTGACATCTTAATCTCACTCTTTTGTCCTTGCCCTTCTAAGAAGGTATGTGTGGCATATGTAAGCAAGACCATTGACTAGGTTTTGCTCTTATCCAAAGTGGGATCATCTATGTTAGTGGTTCTCAGCTTTCTTAGTGCCGTGACCCTCCTCATGTTGTGGTTAACCCCCAACCTTTATTTTTCTTGCTACTTCATAACTGTGATTTTGCTACTGTTATGAATCAGGTGAGCCCTGTGAAAGGGTCGTTTGACCCCCAAAGGGGTCACCACCCACAGGTTGAGAATCGCTGATCTATGTCACATGTGATGAGAACTTTTTTCTTTTAAATTTCCTGGAAATTATGGCCACTGGATTATCCTCACTAATTTGGCCTTCCGTGTATCATTCTGGAATCAGTATATAGGGTCCTAGGCTACACTCTGAAGCAGGCTTATATAGATAGCATAGTTTAGCTTATTCCACGCTTTTCTGATGCTAGCTTTAGGCATTCCTCTCACGAAGTCTCCCATCTTTACTTTGGGGGTCTTTCTAAAGTGTGATACTTCATTCTTCTTTTTTTTCTCTACAACTTGGAAATTGTCATCCCAAAAATGGTCCTGCTAAGAGAATTCTGTTGGTGCTAAAAAACCCACGCTCAAAATCAAAACCTAGCATCCTGCCCAAATGATGCACTTCTAGGATCTCTTTGAATAGCCAAGATTTTGATTTTTAATTCTTACTTGTCAATTGCAATATTGGGATTTGTACTTTTGAGAAAACTGGACAGGAAGTTTATTGTTAATGGCATCTCAATTGTTTTTAAACACATTGTATTAAGGAATTACGAAAGTTCATAATGCAATAAAAACTATTGCGGCTTTTAGATATGTGTTTCTTTAAGGCTCTTACTGTTAGTTCACACTCTAATTTCAGTCCAGTGTTGATCTGGATTACATCCTTTTATTCACAGCATCATTCTGGTACTCAAATTCTTGTTCTTTTCCCTCCGGCTATTCATAGGCCAATGTGCTCTGCATAATGAATTTAAGTGCTATAGTTCATTAATTCTAAGGTATTCATTTTCCCATTTAATGTTTTTAGTATCTTTGAAATTATAGGACACCATACAGTTGATGTTGGTTGATATTTAGCTGCCAGATTTTTAGTGGAACCCAGCTTATTTTTCTCTCTTTACCAGACACACATTAATGGTGCATCTCATTAACAGTATTTTG